CTCGGGTCTCCCCGAAGCCCGAGGCGGGAGGCGGGGGTCCTGGGCGGGGGCTCCAGGGTCAGGGGCGGAGCCTTGTGGTCTGGTCACTGGGTTGCCTTTCTGGGTCCCTTCGGCCCCAGCAGGGCCAAAAGAAACCAGGCACAGTGACGCTGACGGGCCAGGGCCCCGTAGCTCCTGGCTCTCGTCGGAGTGACCAGTCAGTGTCGGGGCGGAGGCGGAGCCCAGTGCGGCTGCTACTCGCTGTGCCAAGGTCATGGGGGTTCTGGGCAACCAGATGCTCTTAGGTCTGGGGTGCCCCCATCTACCTGGGGCCCAGCCATGGCCCAGTGCCCAGGAGGGGAGCCCGAGGGCTACCCCACAGGTGCCTACTCTTATGGGCCACGTGATGGGTTGTGACTGCAGAATTGTAGTCATTGCGCGTTGAGATTGAATTCAGCCCACCAGAGACTCACTAAACATCTACTTGGTGCAGGACACCCCTGATGGGAAGAGGAATGTCTCACCTTTGTTTTATTCCTGACTCCCAGGAAGATTCATTCATTCATTTATCTGTTGGCATTGCTGGCTGTTTAAACACCTAGATCTTGCTGCTCCTGTCTGCCTGCCTTCACTACTACCATCTTGGTAGAGGGTTCCATGGCTCATCCCAACTGCTGCAACCCCCTCATTGTCAACCCACTTTTGGTCTTTCTCTTCTTGTGATCAATTCTCCAACCAGAAACCTGAATGATATTAAAGATCTGATAAACTTTAAGATTATACCATGTCCTTGCTGAAAACCCTCCAGAAGTTTCCCTTCACATTTGGAATCAAGTCCAAACTCCTTACGATGGTCTGAAGGGCCTTAATCTTTCTTATCCTCCTATGCATTCTCCTTATCCTCCCTACACACCAACTGCCTTGGCCTTCTTTCTGTTTTCTGTCATGCTAACTTCTTCCTGCCCAAGGACCTGTCCCCTCTGCCTGAAATGCTCCTTCTTGGGCTTGTCACATGCCTGGCTCCTTTCAGCTCACATGTCACCTCCTCATAGAGACCTTCTCTGTCCTCCCTATCTCCCTATTTGTATCACCTTGTTCATGTCACCTCCTCATAGAGACCTTCTCTGTCCATCCTATCTCCCTATTCGTATCACCTTGTTTTTTTTTTTTTCCTCTTTTTTTAAAAAAGAATTATTTTTTATTTACTTAATTCCATGTATTGTTATTATTTTTTTAATTTGACTGGAGAGAGACAGAGAGAGAGAGAAAGGGAAACCGAGAAAGCAAGCCACCAGGTCAAGGACCCAAACCATGGTTGGCCATATGGGAATCCAGAGCCCTTAACCACCATGCCACCTGTCAGCTCCAACCGTTTCTTTCCTCTGCTGTCTAAAATTGTCACGTCTGTTTACTACGTCATGCCTCCCCATCATCAGAATGGTAACCCAGTGAGAACAGGAATCTATCCAGCTTGGCTACGGCTGTATCCCTAGTACCTAGAACAGTGTGCATAGTAGGGCTCAGCAAATGTTTGCTGACTGAAAGGATGAGGCTGGGGATGGTCGAGGGCAGCCTGGGCAGCTGGCCTCCCCAAGTCCAGTGCCCGCTCCACATTTCGGGTTGAGCAGGTGGAGGTGATTTGTTCAGGGCCCTGCTTCCTCCTCAGTTCACTTTTCCGCTGGTAGGTTTGTTCTCATGAACAAGATGGATGACCTCAACCTGCACTACCGGTTTCTGAATTGGCGCCGGCGGATCAGGGAGATTCGGGAGGTCCGGGCTTTCCGGTATCAGGAAAGGTTCAAACACATCCTTGTAGACGGAGACACATTGAGGTGAGTTTTGAGGAATCCCGTGACATTGTCTTTTCTGTTTGAGGTGTTAGAGGTGCAAAGGGACTTTTTCAGAGGAAGGGATTGTCTACATTGCACTGGGGTGCTCACGTGTCTGGAAGCCTTTCTGAAGGTAGCCATGTGTGCTGCTTCATCCTGTGCTCCACTCTGTCACTGGGCCCTGTCCTGTCCAGTAAGAAAAGAAGCCAGCAAGGCTCTGTCCTGGTTGGGCATTGGAAGTGATGGTGTCAAATACTGGAGGTCGTCAGGGTCTCAGGATTTCCCCCCAAGTGCTTTGTTGAGAAGACTCCACTGTACCCACAAGGTGTCTTGAGTCCCCTTCTGCCTAGTCTCAGGGGTCAGGTTTGTGACGAGTGGCCATTTCAAAGAGTGAATTTGGGGAAGGACAGTTCCATAGTGCATCCGGCCCACTACCTCCAAGGCTGTCCAACTCCTTGGTTTGTGCATGTTTTCTGTTTCCCCTTGACCCCCTTCCCTGACTGCCTCCAAGCCTAATTCTCACAAAATTACAAGTGAAGGGGGAGGGAACAAGTGTTATTAGCCTGGAGGCTAGAAATCTGAGGTGTGGGGACTGAATGACTGT